AAAAATACTTAATATAAATCAAAAATTCCTAAAATTTTTATTAAGAATCATCAATTAAAACATTTTTAATAATTACCCAGCCTGTCCCAAAACCTAGTTCAGAATAGGTTATAAAACAGTTTTCCATTATACAACCACTTGTAGAGGCGATTTATTCTTCTTACGACGCTTCGCCGAAATCTTAATTTATTATCACGATAATAATAGTGATATTCATAATTACGTCTTCTTCTTTCTTCTACTAAATATTCAATCTTAACATCTCCCTAAGTGATTCTTGTAACAGCTATTTTTTTATTATATTTGTAAAAATTAAAAAATTTGATGATTTGAATTAATAAAATGATGAAGTTTTAAAAAGTAAAAAATATATTTCTTATTACTATTATTCAATAAATAATTACCGGTTCGAAGCCAAAATTCGTCACCCAACTCTGCATGAAATATCTGATCATGCAGAGTTGGGTTTGTTATTGGTTGGTCATGGGGATTCTCCCCAGCTTCCAACCTCTTGAGATTTTTGTACCCATATTTTAATGAGTACCATTTTCTTCGACATTGAGAGGGAAAAGCGACAAACCCTCTATTAATAAACAATCGATTGGATATGATTCTCCATATTCTTTCATGATGATTGTTTGGAACAAACTCAAAATCGTCATGATTATCACGTCTTAAACGAATTAATTCTCTTGCGACGTCAATGATCCATTTGAATTGAGCAACAGTGGGAGCAACCAAAGCCATAACGATAGATAAAAAAAAGAAAAAACGATCAAAAAATAAAATAAATAATGAAAGATGAAGAAAATGAATTAAGGGTGATTGAAAAAAATGATTGATAAAAAAAAAAAAAAATTGAATTAAGATTGAGAAAAATGATATGAAATAAAAAAAAAGATAGATAAAAAAGGTAGAGATATCAATGTCATAATAAATAATCAAAGTAAAGATAAAGTGATATGAAATAAAAAAAATTAAAAGATAAAAAAGAAAAAATTGATGATTAAAAAATAGATGAAAGTAATGTAAATAAAAAAATTGAAAGATAAAAAAAGTAATATGAAATAAAAAATATGAAAGATAAAAAAAGAAAAAAAAAATTAAAAAAGGCAAATAAATAGGAGTAATATGAAATATATTTTTAAAAAAAGAAAAAAAAAATTAAAAAAGGCAAATAAATAGGAGTAATATGAAATATATTTTTAAATATAATTTATATAAAAAGATAGTTAATCAAGTTGTTTTTTATTCATTAACTTTGTTTATTTAAAATCTTCATATAATAATATGAATTAAATAATAATTATTTTAATTTTATTGAATGTTCAAAATAATTTCGTCGTATTATGATTTTCGACAGTTTTTCATAAAATTGTAATTTTTAGTGTATGGTCTCTTTGTAAATACAAATCTTTTAAATGATTACTTTTTTTTTTTTATGATCTTGTATTTTCTTCAAAGCTTATGATTTATTGGCTTTTATCCTTATTATAAAAAACGCTCATTTTTAGGAACGAGGTGTGAAATGATTTTTTTTTTGTGATTATGTCTATTTATAAAAAAGATTTTATTATGACGCCACGACGAAAACAATTAATAATTATTTTTCATATGACACAATAATATGGGGCTTAGTCAAATATATATATATATTTGTTTATTCTAAGCCTAAACAATTTTGCTTTTCCTAACTGTGTTTGATTGATAATCATGATTAAAAATTATTTTTGTTAGGTTGAATCACATGTGAGGATTGTTTATGCAAAATCGGGATTGTATTTATTTTATTTTTTTGAGAGATGAATGAACTTTTCAAACTTATAGAGACGGGCAATTAAATAAACGAATCATCATTCTTTGATTACTTGATAAACTTCATAATCATCTACACTAAATTTATTGGGTGTCTTTCTAAGGTGAACCCCATAATTCGTACCATCACAATAACATTGCACGTCCCTTCTAAAATCCCCATGATTCCCTCCTTTAATATACAAAGCACCGTAAAAGCAAGGACCATTATTAGGATGATTTTCAATCGTATAAACGGCATCTGCGACGGGTCTACCAACGATCGATTTACGAATATCTTTACTATCTAATTTAAATACAAAACTTTCCTTTGCTATGGAAAGTGGTTCATTAAGGTATAACGTTTGATTCCAACTAGCGGGATTATATCCACCAATTATTTCTGTTGAACCACGGATTTTTATGATCGATAATGTCGCTCCTTTATTATCACACATCCCATGAAATGTATTTGCGGTAAAACCATTCGCACTTCCTTTTAATAATAAGGATAATCTAAAACGATTTAAAGTGTTGCCAGGTGTCGTCTCGTTTATCCAATTGATAAGTAATTGAAAGCAATCCAATTCAATTAATACCGAATCTAACCTTATGTGTACTTTTGGTATAGCGTTGGAGGGTTGTTCGGGTTCTGGTGTCGTTGCAGGATTGTTTGCATTGGATTTTTTGGAAGACACTATATAATATTTAAGTATCTCATCATAAAGTGATTTATCAATAATTTTTTTAAATGGTTTAACTTCCTCATAAAAATTTTCCGGTCCAATCTTATAAAAATCGATCAATGGAATGATCTTTTGAAGAGTGTTCGACAAATCTCTAAACTTAACCTTGGTCCACAACGTGACATCCGGAATTCTCGTGTTATAATCAATAGGTGTCGTGAAACTATGATGAATCCCCCATTTGATGATGGATTCCCATTTCTCAACCTCTTTAATAGTTAACCCTTTATGTTGCAAAAGGGTGAGTAACGTATCCTCATTTAATAAGTGAAAGTCCATGGATTTAAAAATTATCTCTGGTCGTTCTTGAATCGTTATCAAACAGAATTCATAAAGTTTCTTAAACGATTCCAAGGATAATTTTAGGGTGGTACTAAAATTTTGATGAATTTGATTCGGTGATTTTAATAATTCATTCTCTAATAATTCTAATAATTCGGTAATTTCAAATTCCTTTGAAATTAATAGCAAATCAAAAATTTCTTTGAAATTATTCTCATCAAACGAAAGGTTCCCCCCGTAATAATATTTCAGGATTAATTCAAATAATGATGGGTTAACCTCAGGTTTTTCGATGATCATCACCTTCTCACCTGCTTCATCCTTCATTTTATCTCTCAGTCCTTCAATCTCTTTACGAAAGTATTGGGAGCGAACAAAAAGGACGAATGAATGTGCGTGAAATTCTTTAACATTCTCTTCTTTTCCTACGCGAAATATGACATCCGCACTCGTCTTTTCTTTCTCATAAAATGAAATATAATCTTTGGATAATTGTGGGGATAATTTCAAGGTTTTCATTATAAATTAATATAAAAATGTTTTTTTATGCGGAGAATGTAAACTTTTTAATCGTTTTACATATATAGAAAAAGGGACGATCCTTATAAAAACATGTTTAAATTTGTGGTTGATCACATGACGTATGATGTACCATATTTTTTAGAATACCAACACGATTTCCTGAAAAAAAAAAGTTCAATTTAACATTTGGATATATGTATCACCTTTATAAATAACCACATGGAATGTTGTATAACTATGTCGTTTCAGATCTCTTTGCTTATTAATTAATATCTGCTATAGACTATTATAGATTATTTGTACATCATTTTCATAAATTAAAACACATCAATAACAACAAAGAAATTAAAAGAAAAATATGTATAGATATATATATACGAATATATTTTTCAAGACACCTATTCAACAACTAACATCCTCCACTGTCCAATCCACAAAATAAGCATAAAAAAAACAAAGAGTAAAAAGTAAATATAGGGGTGGAAACAAACAAGCCAATTAATGCTTTGAGGTTTTCAAATTATAATGATAGAAATTTTTTTTTTTTTGGTGTCTAATAAAGAAAAGAAATAAAAGAAATTTTCAAAGAAATTTTTGTTAGTGAAAAAAAATATATATTATTAATATAAGAGTTAAGATAAAAAAAATAATTAAAAAAGGGTCGAATATAGTAAAAAAAGAATAAAACAACATATGGTAATAGGCAAGTATGATGTTAACGTTTCTTTGCGTTTTAACAATTATCAATACTTGAGTATGACAAAAAAAAAAATTAAAGGATCTATATTTGAATAAGGGCTAAGAAGATTTACAGTAGTAATAAATATTAATAAAAGGGTTAGGCAAAAAAAATTCGAATTTAAAATTATTAATCCACATACTTTTAGAAAAACATAACTCCAAACAAGAATGCTCCAACAGCTGCCGCAATTACGACCTCAAATGGGTAGTACCCTTCAGGAATTTTCTCCTGGGTCTTGACAGAGAATCCACCAATTGAACTATTCCTCTTTGATGATGCAGCCTCGTCGCTCTTGCGTTGTCTCATTTGAGCTGTACTCAACTCCTGTTTATAATTATCAATCGTATGATTTAGACGTTGAATTTCCTCTTGGGCTTCAATCAATTGTCGCCGAAGCCTTGCGGGATTATCATCATCACCGGCAGATATGGTATTATCGGGAAACGATCCAATCATATTATGTCCATTAGTGTCATCATGTAATTTGTATGATTGTAGTTGTTCTTTCTATAAATTAAAAAAGTATAATTTAAATCGACGGGTTTATGATTAAAAAAAAAAAGGTAAAATAAAATAAAATAAATACCTTATCATCCTTTAAAGACTCCGTCGTTAATCCATTGATCGTTTCTTTTTGTGAGTTTGATGGAGATGGGCGGGAGGGAATAGATGGTTGAGGCGGAAGAGGTAGATTTGGAGGTGGTGATGCAGGAGGTAAATTATCTTCAACTGGGGGCAAATATACGCATCGAATCTTAGTTTCTTTAATCGTTTCTTTTGCTTGTTTCTCAGTTGTAGACCACTAAAAAAATTATTTATGATTAATACGCAGATTAATTGAATTTAATTTCAAAGACCATTAAAAAAAAAAATTTAAATTATCTATATATCATACCAACTCTTGTAAAGTTAATGTTTCAAGTTCAGGTGAAATTGCCATACTTTGAACCAAGAATTTGTCCTTACATTTGAAATCTGGTGGTGGATCTTCCTTCATTGGTTGCAGGATAACTATATTCAATAGTAATAATATATGTATATGTATATATATATATATAATTTTTTTTTGATATCACAAAAGCAAGCAAAAACTAAACATGCTTTGATATGGAAATAAGCCAATTCTATTTTATACCTTGAACATCAACACTCTGGTTCGCTTCAATTCGGCCTGAATTTGGTCTAACACAATATTGTTTTGGAGCTGTAGTTTTAACCTTGAAGGCTACTGGTTCTGGATTTGGATTACGCACAGTTAGAATTTCCTTCACAAGTTGTGTGAAAGGTCCTGAATACGCCACCATGATTGAATGATAAAGGAATATGGTTATTATAAGTCACTACACTGATTTAATGCTAATTCCAAAAGACGACTTGAAAAAAGATTTGGTAAAGTAACAAAATTCTGCCATCAAACGTTAAACCCTTGGAGTAATACGTACGATGAAATGTTAACTGGCCTGGGGGTTTTAATTCGACCGCCATTTTTATGATACGTCTTTTTGTAATTTGTTATAAACTTGTTTCCCGTTAAAAACAGTCTATTTATTATTTATTGATTTCTAAGGAGCACCCTTTCGATAAATCGTCAGGAAAGACACCTCTTTTTCTAATCAAAGAAAAAAAAATAAAAAATAAAAATAAAAAATAGACTAGTTGGTCGTAAAGTCAAGAGAGACCTTTCTGAAGAATGTTTAAAACGGGAAAAGTGTAAGTGGGAAAAAGTTTATGACGAGATGAGGCAGAGCCTATTGTGACGTTTAGAAACAAAAATGTTAATTGCGACTCCATACCACAAAAAAAAACGTGTGTTACGTCATAATCCAAAATAAGCTTACATCATATCACCTCAATAAGGGGGGAGTTGTTAAAACAAGTTCGGATTATATTGAAATCATGGTACAAACAATGCACTACATGCTTCAACAAATGTTCGTGATCTTCCTCTATAGGTTGAATTAGGATAAGAAATGCAATTTCATACTACATTTGAAGAGCAACTTTAAAAGATTTAAAAATTATTCCATTGCAATTTTTGAAATATATTATTTTTATTTTTATTTTTCTTTAAGAGAACTTTAAAATTAAAGGTAAATTGATTCAATGTCAACTACAGATCGGACAAATATGAACAAACAAAATCGCGCATGCGACATGTCGATCACGTAGGTACCCTTTTTATTTATCACGTCTCCATTCATTTTTATCAAGTATCCTGGGGACAAATTTTTTTTTTAGTGGCGAATCCTAATTGTCACAAGATTTATATGTTTTTATATCACCTGATCTGCATAATTGCCAAAAGCACATGTTTAATGATACAATGATTAACAAATTTTGGAAAGAAATAGGTTTTTTTTTTATTGAAATAAATGTAAATCAAAATAGAAATCTTTATACAGGCCACACCAATAAAATACAAGTTATAAAAATAAATTATACCAAAATTTCCCCATGTTTACTCCGTTTATTATAATATAAATAGAAATAAATAATAATTCCTATGGATGCAAAATAGATGACATTGAAGACGTAGAATAGGTCTTGTGAGACGTGTGATTGGGTCTTTCTTTTTCGGTTTCCTATAAAATATATTAAATGCAATTTATTAATGGATTTCCCTTAACTAATTAATAAAATCACGTTAATTATTTACCGGTGGACTGATAAAGGTCTTCAATTCATCTATAAACAAATAAATGGCCATAATGTTAATATTTTAAAATTCAAGTATCAAATACAAACAATCATATAAAATAAAGATCAGTTATTAATTTGGCAATAATTTTTTATCTTCAAAGATAATCTCGGAACAGGTCTGAATTTTTTATCATCATATATTAAAATTTCGATTCCTTAAAATAAATAGTAATAAATTATTACCTAGTTTTTCATCTGGTAAGACAGAGAATTGAATTGGATTGGCTTCTATATTGTTATCGTAAAGGACAGTCTTTGAAATTGATAAGTCGGCACATTGCTTTGCCAATATAGAAAACGTACGTATCTCATGATGATATCTAAAAAGCAAAAAAAAAAACAAATTTAAATAATCTGTTAAGTCATGTCAGATAACGCGTGCATGATGTACTAACGTAGTAAAAGCTTTCTTATTCGGACAATGCCTTTCTATCAAATTGTCCAAGACAGTCTTCTTAAAAGACTTTTTGATATAATGAAGCACATGAAAAATATAATATTTATGTGGCTCCCAATCCTTGAATTGTTGAGAAAGGGAGAAACGCCCATCGTTTGGATCAATAAGAGGATGGAACAAGCCATCAATATTATTGATCAAGGTAAAAATAAATGTCACTGAAGGTGGACGCTCTGGGTAAGTAAAAGAAAATGTTAAGGAATAATATCATAAAATTATATGTAATATGTCAGACAGTAAAAATTGCATGATCAAAAATATAATTTGCCGAATAAGTTTGTAAAAAAGGATATTCAGCAGGTATGTTAAGTCTAAACTTGAAAACTCCATTTTTATAATATCCTTTATGAACAAATAAAACTCCATACCAAGCTGATATAATGAAAAAAAAAAAGATTTATAAGTGTATAATATATATTTGATTAATTTGTGTATGAAATTAAAGAATATAATAAACAAATATCAAATCAATAAATTACTTACTATGAAAATTGTCTGCAGAAGGCATAACATAAATACCATTTGGACAATGTTTTGGGTTACGAAGATTCGTGCTTAAGGTTATTAGAAGTAAACAAATTTGAACATAACCAATATTTAAAGAAAAATTTTAAACCTGAAATATTACTTACAATTCAATCATTAATTCCATCTTTCTGAAACATTCATCTTTAAACTGTGGTTTAGGCTTGTTGTCTTCAATAGAACCGTATTCTCCATCGTTGCCATCGTCACGATTAGAATTAGAACCAGAGCTACGAGCAAACGAAGTTCTAGATTCAAAAGGCATAATGAAAATAATGTAAATAATGTATGTATGTATGTATGCTTGAAATAGCCAAAAATTTTACGAGTGATTCAAAATATCATATCATATGATCATTGATCCACATGATTATAGGGTCGTGTAACATGTTGATTATTTATTACTTTATTAGTTAGACAATTATATCAGGTTTTTTGACTATACAAAAAAAAAAAAAAAAAAATTGATATACCGAATATACAAAAAAGAAACAAATAAGGGTGATGAAATATACGCATGAACGTGTATTTTCAAATCTTAATCATAAACCATTATATAAAAGGAGAATGTTACATAAGTGTTTCACATTTTTTTGCATAGATAAGACGCGTGTCATCATATTCAGTTTCCCATCTTAAATCATACATACTCTTCCCCATTCTTTCTCACAAAAGAAATGAATTTCCTAGCTCGTCGAATCCCTTTTTCGGTAATAAAAGAAATTTTTGAAAAGGTAACCAACTTCAAAGTCAAAACCTTTTTAGCAAATTCAATAATTAAATCAAGATATTCATCATTAATAAATGAAGATTGAGGAAATTGTAAACTCTCTAAAGGAGCGGAACATAAAGTTAAAAATTGTTCTAAATCTTTTGCGGAAAAGTAATCCATAGTAGAAATTGATAAATGACGTAAGGTGTCGGGTAATTGAAATGCTACTTGAGATCTAAAGAATTTACCATTTTTATATTCCACGGAAATAAATAATTTTTCTAAAAATGTTGACGCGTAAATTTTAAGAAAGTGAGGCATGGATTCCTTTTCTACGTGACCCTCAAATATTATGAGGTTAGGACAACACAAGGAAATAACCTCTATTAATTTAACCGGGATATCCGGTACATTAACCACTACCATATTTTTGAATTCACGTCTTCTAAACCTTATTTCTTGAAGTGATCCTTGAGTATTCTTAATTAATCTCGCCAAATTATCTAAATATAATTGTTGTGCATTTTTAAAAACCAACTTTTTTAATCGATGAAAAGAAGCTAATGCCAAAGGTGCTAAGGTTTTATCGTTAAGATTCACGCAATCTTCAAATATTAAAGTCTCCAAATTTATACAAGTGGTTACGGATTCCAAGGGTAAAGAATTATTAAATCGAACCCTTTCAAATCCTATATGACTCAAGGTTCTCGCTTGTGATTTTAAAGGAGTCAAAAAATTTGATAAGTAACGAAAAGGTCCTCGAATTGTTAAATTGTTTAAAGCTTTCTGCATCGATAAAAGGGTTGACATCTTGTTTGGTTCTTTTTGATCACCATCTAAATCATACATGTCAAACTCATAAAAATTCAATTCCAAGGTTCGAAGATTTTTGCAAAACCTTGACATGTTATTCATTAAAGTACCCTTCTCATATTTTCCTCCAAATGTTAACTTTTTGACACGCTTAAATAATTGATAGGCTTCCGACATTGAATTTAATGATGACAAGTACAAATCTTGAGCGTAGAAATTAATTTCTTCGGTATCATATGATATCATATCGATTGATGGACACTTTCGAATGAAGAATAAACTTAACTCCCCGACTAGTATGAGTGATCGTCTTTCCCCTTTTAAATCCTTTCGACGGTGACGCACGCCATCTCCATTATTATGTCGATTTTGTACATAATAATCATTACTATTAAAAATAAAATCACAAGCCGCATCGTATAAACCTTTGTAACAAAGTTCTTTTACGTATGGTGCATAAATAAATTCTGGTGTAAAGGATTTGAAAGGTGATAAAGGGATTCCAATCTGAGCCAATGCATTCTTTAAACGAGCATCAAGAAATTTTAAACAAGTTTCTATTAATTTCATTGAAGGAGGAGTATGTAAATGTCCAAATGGTGATTTCCAAAGAATTGATGCCGCATTTTCAAACCAAAATTTATTAACTAGCAAACATTTTGATAATATTAATGTATCATCGTGAAAATAGGAAAATATTTCTTGCAAACATTCTCCTGGTAGAAAAGGGGATGGCCGAAGTGAATTTTCATCCGCGTTATTAATCGTTCGAAAAATCTTTTTTGATATTTTTAATTGTGCCATTTTGAAATTTCAAGAATAAAAAGTTTTTATATCTTGGAGTTTTTATACAAAAATTCGATTGAACATCTGAAGATCGCGTCAAAAATTCGATCCTCGGAATCTTTATAAATGATATATAACTTCGATTCAAAATGACCTGCTAAAAATAAACACACACTCCTTTGAACCTATTGTATGGTATGCCCGCATTCAGATACATCGTATTGATATATAGAATGAAATGAAATCCCATTTATCAAATAAAGAATATATATCTATGATCATTCTTTTGATCTGCTTGATATGCTCATTATCTTTTTACGATCGATGATCAAAAGAAGTTGCATTACGATCGAACACAAAGTTTCACGTGGACTTTCGGTGATTCGACATTATTATTGAAAAAAAAAACAATCGTCGATATATCTCAAAAAAAAAAAAAGGTCTTTCGAAGATCACGCTAAAAATCAACGCCAAATATTCTACTTACATGATGTAAATATGGTTTCCTATTTTGTTTTATTCTATTGTTCAATAAACAATTTAAGTTTATTTAGAAAGGAAGTAGGATTAGATGATTACTAACAAATCATCTAATCTGTTATGTGTTGGATATGCTAAGCACTGTGTATTTTCTTTCTCGGCGATGCGTATTTATTTTTTTGATTTTATAAAATTAATTGACCAATTGATGAGATTTTCTATATTTTTTTACAAGTACAAATGTATAAGATTGATAAAAAAAATATCAATACAATATAAGAGGTGATACCATAGGAAAGTTTCTTTTCTTTTTCTTTTAACTTTTTTTTTTACGATAGAAGTTGAAGAGTTAGAATGTCAGTCTTTGCAATCGCCATGAAAAATGAAAAAATACAAACAAGTCCTGATGCCGACGTAAGAGCGAATCAGATTCTTTTTTGAACGTCACACGTAATAAAATCGAATCTGTAGTTATCGAACACAAGATTAAATTATTTAATTTTTAATAGGGTGATCAGCATGATCGACTCTGAATATTTATGATCTAAAAATAAATTTTTGTAGCGGTTCAAATGATCAAGTTTAAAGTTTATTTAAAAAAGATTCCCGCATAGTATGATATCCAAGCTAAATAAATGGTAAGGATTTTCAAATTTATATGCGACGTAACTAAATCCGTCGACTGAATGAAAAGATTGCCAGAGACCAAGAGAATCATGAAATCAGGTATAATAATGGTACTAGTCACGACTGAAATTTTCGAACTTATTTTTTAAAAATTTGAAACTTTAGAATAATAATTATTTTAATTGTTTGATTAGTCAATCAAAGTTACTAAAAACGAAAAATAAGAGCTTTATAATAATAACCGAATATTTGGATTAAAATTTAATAAAAGTCCCGATTTCCACAAGATTTTCAAATAATTATCAAATGCATTCGATTCGTTTAAGAAAACTCTCTTGACCCTCGTCATCATGATCCACATATTCAAAGCGTTGTCAAGGGACGGTCTTGGACATTACCATCTACAACACAAATAAGATGCCTTATCTGCATCAAAATTATCAGTCAGTTTCTTAATTACCTCTTTCACTTCTTGAGGTTAGAACGAAGGAACTCGAAGAATAATATTTGATGATCGGGTGTTCGTGGTGGAGGTGAAGGAGTGCCAATATGTTAAAATTCTCTCCATATTCTTTTCGTTTATTATGAATGAAAGTTTGCTCTGGTTCTAAACTTTACATTGGGAGCAAGGTAATTTTTTAGAGACAAAATGCATGTTAGTCGGGTAAAATGTAGCATAAATATACAAAAACATTGAACAAAGATATGTAAACAGTGACAAAAAAAAAAAAAAAAAAATAGGCCAGTACCTTCATACGCTCGACTCAATGAGTTCATGATTTCTGTTGATTTTTTGAAGTAACCATTTCGGTTATCGAAAATATAAAATATTGTTTAAAAGAACGCGAATTAAAAGTTCAACATGGGACAACTAATAGATTTCCAGAGGACAGATTAATTGTCGGTTTTTCATAAGACCCAGCATCTATCTCATTACGTCTTCAGTAATAGATGCTTCATGGTGTACATAATGCTATCCTAAACTGATGCTATAATAAATTACAAAATATTATTAATTCCATACTCACCAATCAACGAATCCTTCAAAGCTCTACAACTCTGCCAAGAAAAGTACGAAGCGCGCAAGAAAAGTGAGCCGTTAAACGCATATTCGATTCCCGAAGATTACAGAACTTCTGTACGACATGTTTAACACGAGTTCTGCTTATTTGAAACTCATTGAAATTGGTAGCATTACTCGTCAACTTCTGACATAATTCCTTGGGAAACAGGTTATAAAATAGTTCCTGAATTACAGACTTGATTGGTTGATCGACAAATTTTGGTTATGATTTTACTAAGTCTTAAGTTTACAAACTTAAAGTTAAGCGTAAATATTTATTGAAGTTTTTGTTTTTATTATTGCTCACATGATTTCTTAATGGATCAAATCCCTGAAAATTACTTGTTTAATAACATCTGTTTCATCTATACTTTCATTTTTTTTGTTTTCATATTCAATAAGTTTCAAGTTTTCTAAAAAATCTTATAATTTGTTTTATTTTTACTTAAAAAATATTTAATATATAGGACCTCAAATATCTTCAATATATATCATATACTAGGATTTTACTCAAAATTAATATAATTTACTAAATCATTTTTTATATTTTTTACAATTTTTTTTTCAAGAATTACTATCAATTTGAATGAAATTTTATATATTTTATATAGCTTATAAGAGCTATAAAATAAAAAAATTGGTTAAAATTAGATTTTTAGATGGTTTAATATTTATGAAAAAACTGATTTTTGATCATTTAAAAAGGAATAATTTGCTAAACTTATATTTGTAACCTGTTTTAACAATATTCAAATTCTTTTAACATAATATTAACATTATTTTT